GATGGTAAGGATATGACAGTGCGAAAAAGTACCTATTATACAATTAGAAAATTAGACAAGTGGCACTTCCATATTTAAAAATAAAATAAAATCTGGGTTATTATCATATCGTTATAATAAAATTAAGGCTTTTGTTAACGCAAAGGAAGAAAATTACATAAACATGATTAGGAATATTATTTGTGTGATCCAAGTTTATTTTGAGCATGATTTCTCATACAATGATCACAAATTGTCTCTTTTTTCTTTTTTCTTTTTGGGTACTGACTGTGGTTTTGAGAATATATTATTTTAGTATTTTTTTTTTTTAGATTTTTAGTTAGAATATGAGGTTAAAAAAAATTAGTATTTTAGATATTTTTTTTTAAAATTTTTAGTAAAAAATATGTAAAAGTTAAAGAGAAAATAGCATTTGGTTTGAAACTCAAATCATGATTTGAATCAAAACAATTTAAACTCATAATTAAACACATAATTCAAAATTCAATTCAAAATTCTATTTTTTTTTTTTAAAAATTCAATTTTTTTAAATTTTGTTCTTTAAAATTATTTTTTATTTTTATTTTTGAAGAAAATTATTTTTTATTTTTTCAAAAATATATACATTTTTTAAGTATTGGCCAAATAATTTGTTATGATTTAGATATATATGGGCGATCCAAATTTTTTTAAAATATACAAAAAAAAAATTAAAAATTTTCAAAATAAACATTTAAAAAAAAAGTAAAAAATAAAATAAAAATTTAAAATATAATATAATTTTTAAAATTTTAAATATTTTAAAAAAATATTTAAAATATATAAAAAAAAATACAGAGCACAAATGTACTAAATACAACACGCACTAAAAAAATATTTACCCTAAAAAAATAAAATTAGGAATTTTTTTAAATATTTTAAAAAAATAAATCCAAAATTTTTTAAAATACAACTTAAAATCAAAAACTCAAAACTCAAAATTCAAAATATAATTCAAAACTCTTTTCAAAATTTAAAACTCTTTTCTAAAACTTTGGTCAAAAAACTCATTTCATGACCTCCACGTCACCATGTGTTGTAGGCATTAGGCAATATTGTCTTTTGCCAACCCAACATCATTGGGAAATTCTATTTCCACACACCAAGTTTTCTTACTCCACACACTAAATAAATTTTTTAAGAATCACAAATTTATCCTTTAACAAAATTACCATCTCACCCACCATTATCTCACTCACACATCTTATAATTTCTTCATACGCATCTCACCCACCACCATCTCACTAGCCATTTCACCGCCGCCCGCCTCCCATGCCCAAACTTTAACCAGACAAACAGCGAGTGAGAAGCCGAGGATTGTGAAGAAGAAGAAGAAGAACAAGACCTAATCATTCGTTCAATTACACCTCTAGAAGCTCCATAACAGTGAGAGTTACAGAGATTAACAACTAGAATCAACATGGTATCTAAATCTTTAATTGAACCCAGTTTGTGTTCGTACCAGAGGAAGAAATTGAAGAGGCGTGTGGAATCAAGACCCACCTGGTTTTGGTGAAGAACGGTTCGAACCACATCTGGGTTTAGCTTCTTGGGTATTTCTGATGAATCCAAGAGGTGGATCCAATTGTTGCGCTTGAGTATGGTGGTGATTTCATCAACCAAGTCTTGGTTTTGTTGTTGATGGAAAACAAGTGAAGATAGTCTGGTCTTTGGAGTGAGAATATGGGATAAATTGGTTCCTCGTTTGGTGGGATAAATTTGGGCTTCAGTTTGAAATTTTACCAGTACCAGTTAGAGAAGCATATAATGATTGGCATACTGCTTATTCTCATTTACTAGTAAACAAGGACATTTCTATCAGTAAATCATTAGTCCTTTTTGTTATCCGTTTTGGAATTCTATGGATATGGAAATGGGACTTTCAATGTGATTACCAGAACAAAATCCACTGTCTTAAAAGGGTTTTGTTTGTAAGATGATAGGATAAGGATATGAACCCTACTTTAATAGAAACTGTCCAGAAAATCAAGGCACATACGCAAGCCTGCTGGGATGCTATTCCTAAAGCTCTTCCCAGTCAACCAATTAATTCAAATCCCTTTGTTCAAATTCAAACAGAATTAAGACAAAAATTTCCCAATTTTTCTGAAACAAAATTAATCATAAAATGTATGGATTTCATGAAGGAGCAATTCCTCCAAACTCCCTCCAAGGATGACTCCTCCATGAGATCTGTCACCAGCAGTCAAGAACAAGAAGACTCCGAAGAGGAAGGTGCCAATGCCTTTACTGTATTGGCTGGTGAGTCATAAGCACCAGATGAAGATGAATCGAATTTTGGAGATTTTTGGGATTCTCTAACCAGTATGATTGCAGAAAAAATCGATAAAGAAAAAGACAAAAAAGGAAAAGGCAAAGAATAAAGCATTGTCCCTCACCAAAATCAATCAACCAGAGAGCTGGCACAAAATGACAAGTCTTTTTGGCAAAGGCAAATTCTTTGTCTGCCATCCAGAAAAGAGAGATAAAAATCTCACATTCGTCCAAACAAGATAAGGATGCTGGGTTAAAAGCAGATTCCCACCAAGCCAGAGGATAAGGATGATCGACTCCACCCAATCAAGGACACGCCACCTGTCCTCACCTTATCTTTTCTTTATTTTTCTTTGTTCATAAAAGGGAAGGACCTCACCCTTGTTAAGGCAGAATATCTTTTACTATATTCCTAAGAGTGTTTCCCCTCTCCTCTTTTGTAAGCTCTCTCATGTAAAAACATTTCTCCAATATATAAATTAAGTGTTGAAGGCTTATGATGTTTTGAAGATTTTTTGGGTGAATAATGTTTGTAAGTATTTTTTAATGTATGCCCTCTGTTAATGTTCTTGTTGAAAATCTACATGTTTTAAGATTATTATATTACGAGTTGCAATCATTATTTAACTGTTATTCACGATCCGTATCTTCAGCCTTGGGTTATCCAACAGTAAGAATTCTATGATCAACAGATTCACAAAATCCAACAGCAAATACAAGAACATATTTGTGTGTGGGCGGCCGCTATAAGGCCTCCACCTCAACAGTAAAATCATGAGACCATATATGTTATAATTTGTTTGTTATTTATTTGTATTATGTAATTTATATTCCTGGGCTTGTGCCCGATAAGCGTAGAACATAGAAAGGTTGAGTGGGACATCACCCAAGTCGCATTTAGCTTTAGAAACCATCTTTGCAGAGATTGCTACTAGGTCTGTGCCCTAGTAAATTGTTGACAGACGTGCTTAGCTTTAACCCTGTTGTGTCAAGCACTTTATGTTGATATCAGAGCCAAGTTTATACATTGATGTAATACAGTTATATAATAATTAAATTATTCATATATGGTCACATACAACTAATGACAGAAGAAGCACCCATCACAACAATAGCTAATACAGTAGCTTCTGCATCAGAAGCAACAGAACTTGTAGCTTACCAGGATGTTAAGGAAGCCTTAGATAAATGGACAATTCCTAATGTCAAACTAGATACAATTTATAAAATAGGAACATTTGATTTTACCAATAGAAAGATAATTAAAACTTTTGAGCATGCAATGCCATTACAGAATAATGACAAAATAATTAAAGTACTTCATATCTAGGATCTTGCATCTTTTTTCAGAAAACATAAATATATTCACATAGGACTTGTCCAGATAGCCTTCAAACCTTTAACTTTGTTGGGACAAAATACCAGTATCCAGTGTACTCTTCGTGATGGAAGATGTCTTGATTGGAAGACTTCTCTTATGGGAGTAATTGAAACTAGTTTATCCCATGGACCAGTCTATTTTAATGTTTATCCAAATTTGAGTGTTGCACTTATGGATTCAAATCTTTCAGAAGTTCTAGAACTTAGAGTTCTTACCTATGGTTATAAGTATATGGCAGGAAGACCTCCTTTAACAGTCATTTTCAGAATACATCTTAAGGTTCTTACCACTTTGAACCCATACACCAGAAAACAAAGTGAATCAGGACAAACAGTCTTGATAGATACCAACTTGTTCAGTAGCCAGGTAGCCGTTCCAACAATGATTCCTTGGCAAAACATTACCTTTCCAGAATCATGGCATATTCCTAATGCCGTTCCAGCCAGACCAATTATTAGACAAACAATTGATCAGGTTGTCCAGACTCAAGGAGGTAATGTTTACCTCAATTTTCGAAGACCACTTATAAGAAGCATGTCCAATACAAGTTTTAGATCTACTCCCCCTTCTAGAGTAGATTTACCAGAATCATCCAGACAATCTATTTCAGAACCTGTTGAGTCTGTGATGCAAGGAATGCCTCCTCAACCTCCTAGTAGGCCACCTAGTGATCCTTCTGTAGATCTCGTAATTCAGGGAGTTCAATTATTAGAAAATCAAATACCTCATGGAGTTTATGAAACCAGAAGACCTGAGAGTCCAACAACTAGCGACATGAATTTTGAAATTTAATGGATTATTCTCCAGGAAGTGAAATAAGAAAGAAATTAAACCAGGACTTTATGCTAGATAAATACCAGGAATTTAGAAATTGATATTTTAAAAACCATAATGATCAGCACCTTCAATATGTTAAAAACCAATGTTATTACAATTCAGAAAAATACCAAATTTTAACATTTTTCCCTGAATGGCATTATGAATTTGTTACCGTTATGGAAATATTTCCTGAACAACAAATAAATGTTTTAACCAATATTAAAAAAACATGGACAACAGTTAATGGACAAACAATTATGTCTATCCATCTGCCACCACAATCATTAGAGTTAGCTCCAAATGGTGATACTACTCTACAACCTCTAATGACAACAGCATATGTGGAAATTCCATCTAGAGCATCTCAAAGAGATGTAGTTCAACTAAAAGATTTGGTACTTTTTTATTGGGGTAACAAAACCACAATTGTAGAAATTTGACTATGATTTCAATCCTACAATGGAAAATGGAAAAACTTTATGTGGCTGCCCTTAGACTCTTAACTGGTTCTGACTTCTCATACTTAACAGCTCTAGTTTTTCCCACACTAGCAACGGCCCATAGGAGACTAATTACACTATATATATTTTTGTTTGGCACCAAACTTGTCCTTGCTATTGATATTTTTGGTCAGGCACATTTTTGCTATAATGTCTGTTTTCTCCCCAATGCAGTATGCAGGGACATCCTGGGATGAACTAAAACACGTAAGACAGGCTGTCGGATTCTTGGTATGTCCTCTTGGTTCTTTATCATGGTGCAATTCAGATGGTATGCCTTAGATACTTTTAATTTGCTCACTATTAATGGTTTCACTATTCTGGAACTAGTGTATACTGTTTGAGCCAAATTAATGTCTTTTTCTTAGTTTTCTCCTTTGAAATTAAGTTTTACTTTTCTAAACTTCTTAGATTGGTTAACCTCTTATTTTCTCTTTATTTAACAATAATCACATATATAAATTTTATAAGTATCCCTCAACAATGGTACCAAATATATATGATTCAAGGATACTGCAGAATTGTAACTTGTGTACCAAATATATATGATTCAAGGATACTGCAGAATTGTAGCTTTATAGAGTATGCACGCTTTACTGTGATGACAATTATAACACTCCAAGTGTATCCCCAGATGTGAGCTGAAAGAAATGACAATATAATCTTCTTCTTTAGAGCTTAAATTAAACTTCTTGTCGTGTAATTTGTTTTTTATGCTTGTTACCGTGCTGAGCTTTTTCTAAGAATTCTAATAGAAATTTTTCATATTTTTACAATTATACACTTGACCCATGTGGTCCTATTTACATAACAGTTGGAGATGGCGGAAACATAGAAACAACTGATGTTGATCATGCAGATGACAAATGTCCACACAGAATACTTACCAGAAATTGTAGTGGCATGTAGTGCTGGCAACTCAGGTCCAACTCCTTCAACTGTCACTAATGTGGCTCCATGGATCATCACTGTTGCTGCAAGTAGCATTGATAGAGTTTTTCCTTCACCCCTTGTGCTAGGAAATCAAATGAAAATTCAGGTAAAACTCTAATTTTACACACAATATATATATATATATATATGACATTAGATCCTCTGTTCCTAGATCATTACATTGCCTTATCTCAAAGCACTTTCAACCATTATATCTATATGTGAAAATCTCAAGATTATGGAATCCTCAAGGCATAATCAAACGATTGGGATTGCATTGGGAAAGGAAAATGAGATTTGGGAATCCTCTAAGAGAAAAGATCCTTGACTGTATATTGGGCCATACATATATACAGACACACACATACATATGGCACTATTATTTTTTACCTAGGCCAAGCCTTCATTTACTAAATGACAAATTAAACCAATACCCTTGAAAAAACGTGTTTTGTTGCTTTAGTCTGCAATCTTAAATATATGATTGGATCTTCCAGACAGTGTCTACTTGGTACCTTTCATGCAAGCAATTGGAAGGAAACAATATTGTTTTGTTTTCTAAAAGAATAGAGTTTCCCCAAAACTCGCAGGGAGGATATAATTTGCAGAGTTTCAGTAAATACCAAGAAAAAGAAAACATTAAAATCTAATTATTGATGATTATCTGACATCCTTCACCAAAATGATATTATTTTGTTGCCAAATTTGTGAAGCTTTTCTTCTTGTTTAAGAAAACACTGAGAATTATAGTACAAATTACAGAGTTTGTTAAAAAAGCTAGGAATAATAATTTATTGCCAAATTTCTGAAAATGTTGAAGAAAAAAACTTTAGAAATAATCTTTCTTTATTGGAGTGACCATTCTCATTTTTGTGTTCACTTTCTTTGTTTTGGGGGTATACATACTAATGGCTTGATATCAAATATTTGATTGAATTTTTCAGAAATTGCCTCCCCGGTACCCTTTCACCAAAGCTTGTAAAAGGAAAGATTGTTGTCTGTTTGGGATTCAATGTCCAGAGTGCTATGGAGGTGAAAAGAGTAGGAGGTGTAGGTATCGTCCTAGTAAACATCTACGGGAGTGACAGTGGTATGCCCCTTGGAGCTCAATTACTTACAGGAACAACAGTAGGACTGAATGACATAGCTACAATTGTCAATTACACAAGGACTAATGTGAATCCAACGGCAACATTAATCCCAGGAACTACTATTTTGGGTAGTAAACCAGCACCATTCATGGCTCCCTTTACCTCATTGGGTCCAAATGGCCTTGAACCTAATATTATTAAGGTACCTAAGCTGTTATATTTGATTATTAATTTAATGTCACAAAGTCAAGCCTAACCTCCATAATTTGCCTCTTCTACGTGTGGGCGCTATGTATTTTTTGAGTCTAAGGCCCATTTCCCATACAAACATTGGACTAACTTGCTTAGACAACAAAGAGTCGTCACTTAATTTTTAAAGAGGAATTAAGAAACCTTTAAAGATAAAAACTAAGTTAAGAGTCTTTGCTTAGACAACAAAGACTCTTTTCACGCCCTCTGTCTCTCTGTTTTATAATTGTTTGACACTTTACATTTCTACACTTCCATATGATGTTTTTGTTGTTTACTCTTGTAAGTGGCAAACCTTGGTTAATGTTATGAACTCTTATGGACGCATCTTCATTTTATACAGATTACTGACAGGTGCGATTCTCGCTCATGAGTTAATGCGTGGGTGGTTACACCTTAAAGGTACTACATGAGTTCCTTCTGTTACTTTTCCTTTTTTCTTTGATTGAGGGTCATAGAAGACATGTTGATGCATGACAAGAACATTAGAGCAACTTCATTGATGTAGTATTTAGGTGTAGCAGTACTAAAGAAGCACAACACAACGTAAAACACTCCGACAATGTAGAATATGGTCTGCTAAAATAGCACATATTTTATACTACACCAGTGGAGCAATTTACAAAGAGACGTCTCACCTACCACCTTGCCCTCTGAACCCAAAATGCCGATCAATCAAAACCCTCACCACAATCCCCTATTTCTATATCAAAATTCTCAACTCTTCTTCGCCAACACACTCTCCCTATGAGAACCACCATTCGCAGTCGTCTCAAGCTCGTTGAACAATGCAAAACAACCCAAGTCCACTCTCTCAACATAACTACCACCACCACCACAATCTTTACCACCGCTAGAAAGCCCAACCACCGCCGTGAAACACAACCACACAATCAGCTCTATTTTGTTGAACTCCAATGAAAACATTTTAGTTTCAGTGTCTGAAATGAAAGTTTGAAGAGATTTGCAAATCAAAGAAATTTGTACAAACCAGATAAATTTGCAAATTAGATAAATTTGTACAAACCAGAGAAATTTGTGCAAACTTGAGAAATTTTTTAATTTTCTCTGAATTGAAATTTCTTTGGATCGATGTGTGAAGGACCTTAAACATTATGAAAATATTGAATGTCCTTTTTATGCTCTAAAAACTTAATACCAGGGACCCTAAAAAAAATCCCCCTAAATAGAATAGAAGAGAGAATAAAAGAATAATTTGTCTTTTACCTTGCATGGTTAATAAAATGGAAACAAAAAAAGTTAGTATTTGTTTTTATATTATAAAAAATAAAAAGAAAGAAGGAAATGTTAAGAAAAGAAAAATGGAAAAATAGTTAGGCAAAAAAATTATCAAAAGGTGATAAATATTACAAATATTAATAATTATAATTATAATTTTTTTTATTAATGTGAAATAATTTTTAAAAATTACCATTGATTGATAATTTTTTCAAGAAAAATGCGGAGTCATAATAGGTAATACTTACTTGAATAATTTAGAGAATTCTATTATACACATCCACATATTATATATCTTTAGTTACGTTATTTTTTTCATTAATTATGATTAATTTTTTAATTATGACATTATTTTGTAATATTTAATTATGATTTTTTTGTTTAATTATAAATTTTTGTCTTTTCCATTTAATTTTACTCTAATTTTTTCATAAACATAATTCATTGTCAATATCTGTACTTGTCGGGTCATGCTCCGGAGCTCTAATTAGAGTTGCAACAGTGCAGCTGCTGTCACCTATATAAAAAAAAAAAAAAACAATGAAGTAAAAGACAAAACAGAGGAAAGAAAAAGACAAATTAAGGCTTGGTTTGGGAAGTAGGTTGGTTTTTTGGCTTTTTTGGCTATTTTAGCCTGGGCTAAAAAGCTTGGTTTGGGAAGGGCTTTTTGGCTTTTTGGCTTTTTTGACTTTTTTTGTGAGAGAAGAATGTAATGATTATAGGTTGGATGTGATGTTTTGTTTGTTATGGCTAAAATAGCCTATTTT